GATATGAAAAAAGTCGATAAAACGTCAGAATAATTCGGACTAACTTCACTAGAATATGCAAAACATTTGATATGGCAGTATTCAGTGAATGATATGTTTGATCAGTATGTGATAAAACACAATCTACATGGAGAGCAGTATATAGTCTTACTTCTGTATGTCCAAAGGCAGGCCGGAGTCTATGGGCTCAGCACGCTCCCTACCCGAACCCTCCGACATTCTTTTCTGGGCAGGAGAAAACCTTTGTCCTTCTGGGGATGGAATGATATTTCAAATAAAATAAACAGCATAGAAAAAACAACTTCCTGTGAGTATCCTAAAATACTGCATATTAAAACGCATTGTCTTATACTGTTGGAAATATTTTTGTCCACATCTAGGTGCATTTACATGTGTAGTATTCAATGAACTATGTATGTAGCCTGCATAAAACATTCAAGTACATACCTACATATTAAAGTGTCTCACGTATATTTACCTGTATGGACAAATTCCAATGTGACCTACACTTGTATCCAGTATATAGTGAACCGAACTAACGAAAATCAATAGGTGTATCAGAAATACCTCAACCTGTTACACTTCCAAACAAGGAAGTAGAGATGGTGATTTCACTACTTTATGAAATACCATTATGATCGCATATCACGAATAAGTTTTAAAAATCCCCTAAATTCTCCAGCTTATTCAATGAACATTTACTGTTAAATAACGTACATTGTATATGGGTGTCTGATTTATACCATTTAACCGTGACAATTCTATACAATAGTACATATCAGATATCTGTTTACCTATCAGAGATTTAGTCCTCAATGCTTAACTAAGAGTTATTGAATTTCGATTCTTTGATCAGAAAAATTTGGCAATGAATCAATGAAATAATTGTTTCCTTTACAAAAAAAAGAAAAAATCCAACCCAAGTGTTAGATAACCCTATTTCATTCTACTAAAGTATATGCAATGAGGATATGAAAATGCTGTTTTTTTCTTTTACGAACTCCATGGCTTCTTCGGCATGAATTAATTTAATTTTCAACATTTTCAAATCCCTGGTTATATATCTCACCATAATAAACAAACATATGTTGATGCTATTCCACCACACCAGAATGTAATGACTGTGCTTTACATCTACATCAGTTTGCCTATGAGACAATGTAACTTTGATAATCCAATTATATAAATTATTGCTGTTCTTTTGCATACTAAAACATTTGTCATGTGTTTCATCTTTTTCATTTCATTAAAAAGTAGAAGCTAGCTAATATTTTCTGGACTCAGCAGCCAGTAGTCCTGTCTCCTTACACTTTTAACACAGACATGAGGAAACAATGAGATAGGCACATGCATATGCCTACCATTATTTTTCAAAGCAAACTTGTCAAAGTCCTGTCACACATGACGAGGGAGACTTCTGGAAGACTAATGTATGTGTATGGTCTACTGAGACAATTAACAGACACACCTGTGTATATTGCCTAATAATACATGATTATTGATGAATGAAAAGGGTTTTTAAAAGCTACATAACCTATGTGGCAGAATTTTCAAGTACACCTTCCCCGATACAACACTTTCAAGCAGTATTTCACAAATAGCAGTATTTCACCGTATTTTGTTCTAATACTATTGACTTACCTGGTTGAGACTTGGCAAGGAGGTGTGACGGACGTTTCATATCCCAAGCTTCCTCATACATCTGTGTTGAAGGGGGTGGTGGAGGAAAAAAGTTAGGAGGAGAGCCCGGAGACAGTGGAGGGGGCGTGTCTACCACTGTTCTCTGATTAACTGGGCTGCCATGTCTTAACTTCTGTACTTTATCCTCTAGTTCCTGTTCCCGTTTCTTTGTGTCCCATGGGGATTCATACGTATTACTTTCAAATTCTGAAGGAACAGAAGCACGTGAGGAACCTGGTAGATTTTGAAGTGGTCTGTGAGCAGGGTTATTTAATGGTGGTAGGGATTGCGGAGGTCGATGTGAAGGGCTAGATGAGGGAGATACTTTCTTTTTAGGTTGCCCTGGTGACGACTTTGGTGGATGTGTTGTCCTCATACTGTTAATGTCTGTCCAGGGTTCATCGTAGGTTGCCGTTGAAGCCTCACTTTCACTTTTTTGTGAAACCACACCACTTTGCTTCCTCTGGGCTTCCTTCACTTTGTTTTCGAATTGTTTCTGTTTTTCCTCTGTGTCCCAAGCATCCTCGTACACAGCTACCTCTGGCTGTTTAACTTTTGGTCGGATAACTACTCCTGGAATGATTCTATCGTCAGTGCTCTCGGGGTATTTGCTTTCTGCTTTTCCAACAATCTTAGAAAAATGTTGCAGACTTTGTTTGGAATCCCATGGTTCCTCGTATGTACCTGTGTATACCTCTTCCACTCCACCGGCAGGCTGGCCTGGAGGCGCCATAGAGGATTGGCCCCCGGTAAAAGCACTTGATACTGTGTTCATTTTGGGACTTTCAACTTTTTCACCAACTACTAACGTTTGACTGTGTGTATAATCAGGTGACTTGATCAGTGGACTGGGGGGATTGCTACCTTTCCATGTACTCAAATGGTCATAATCATCCTGTTCTTCTAATTCTGATTCTGGAATTTCAAATCCAGTCTCAGCACCAGTCTCGACTCCTGAATCAAAACTTGTTCCCGTTATATTTGGCACATGGTCGTAAGTGAATCCTTGTGATTGTGCACGAAATAATGGCACTTTGCTGGGAATCACAGAGTTCTTCCCCTTGGATGGTGAATTGTGTTTTCCTGTATTTTGGACAGGTTGAGCAAGTTCATATAAGTCGTCCTGTGAGCGACTGGTTGGGGCTGAATGTCGTAATTTGTTTGCTTCCTTTTTCTGGTCTCTTCCAGCTACAAAATATGAACAGCAAAATATCAATTATGATCTTCAATGTTTTTGTCTCCCAGCTTTATAATGTGCATTGACATATTTGCATGATAAATGTGATGTAAATTTAAATTGAAATAAATTCTTTTCAGACCTTTGTACGTCAATTTGATAAGATGATGACAACCAATGAGATCAACCTAAAAAAAAGGTTTGGCAACGTAGCCTGGGTAATACATTACACACATAAAATACAATGTAGCTAAGGTAATACATTACACACATAAAATACAATAATTTGATTTTTATGCCTGAATAATCAGACATTTATTCACCCCGTGTGGAGCCAAATGTTCACCTGGCTATCCATGGGACCCAAATAGGACATTTTAGTAATGAATACAATGTTCAGACTGACCGTTCAGTGCTGTTTTTAGTTCTCTCAAGTAGTAAAGACTGACAAAGAGATGCTGAACAGATTCTAAAGTAAGCCAGAATACAAAGTTGTGGTATGCCAACTTGCGGGGAAGTACTCGCTCTGAATTAAGTGTACACACTTGACTGATTTCAGTGAACCATTAAAAGAGGTGCACTCATCAATGAAATACTGCATATGAGTTAGAGCACAAAGAACTGTTATTGTGTATATACAATGTATACAACTGACTGCGGTTATATACATGTATACTTCCTATGTATATGTAGGAATTCCTATCACTATGTATTTCCTGGGTTTATGTGTTGATAAGCTTGAAAATCCATGAGTAAACTATCGTGCTTATAAATATTTATCAACTGTAAATATGTTTCGATTAGAAAATTAACAAACTATGTATCTGTTGTTGTTAATTGTTTGATTGCCAAACTGACCGATTAAGCGTTCTCTCGGTCGGAGGAATTTTCGAGTAAAACTGGTCCAGTTTGACAACCCTAGGCCAAATCACTATACATCATCTTGGAAGACAAAGCTGACTTAATAATGAGCTATTGCAATAAATGTATTTAATGTTTCTAACGTGTGTTACTAAATACAGGGTGTCTTACATGTATTACTTAATATAGTGTATCTAACGTGTGTTACTAAATATAGTGA